AGCAATATCACGGCGGAGGACATCAGAAATAAGCTTCACACATTGTACCCATGTGAGGAATCGAACCCGGGTCTTCGGTGTGACAAGCGAACGCTTTAACCACTAGGCTATCCCTCCGCCCCTTGAGAAGAAAAGAAAGGCGTGCTAAGCGAGGATGTTACCCTATCCTCGCTGTCATACTAAAAACATCCTGATTGCGTGTCATCGTGAAGTAGGTCGGTGCTCTTGTTTTCAATCACTGGTTTACCGATTATGTCACATAGATGAATTAGCGTTGCGTCAAGCAACATCCCTTTAATCACTCACTCACTCCTGGGCGTTAACAGATACAGAAAAGTAACTGTTATTCAATGATAGCTCTTCAGGGCTAGGTGGGGATAGCTCAGTGGGTACAGTGTTTGTGTTTTGCTGGTTCGGTCCCCAGTATGAGTACACTGTGTGTATTGTGGTATCTCCAGATATGATATGGCTGGAATATTGCTGTGTGCAGCGTAAAACAATACCCACTCATGAAATCACTCAAATCATTCAGATAAATATTATTAATTTACTAACAAAAACATTATTGTTTCAATGAAAAATACATATTTTCAAATATATTATTATTATAATACCTGTATCCCAACTGACTAGATCGATGCTCATATCAATCACTGGATTGTCTGGTACAGACTCGATTATTTACAGACTGCCGTCATATAGCTGGAATACTGCTGAGTGCGGCGCTAAACAACAAACAAACAAACACAGATATAAATGGGCAACCTTTTCAAACAATTTCTACCCTTCGTCGTCATAGACACATGTATCGTGTCAAAAACGCTTGTATCGGGTTGAAGGCAAAACATTATTTATAACAAAAATAATATAAATTTTATACATGACTGCATAACGGTATTTCATAACAACTATTACGACAGCTGGTCCATCTCTCGTGTCATCAGTACAATGTAATCACGGAGGCTTGTAATGAATACCTGGGCTATGTTAGTACAAGCTGATTACCATAGCTGTGTAAATAGACACACAGTCGAGTCTACGATCGATCTATGATCGCGCCATCTGCAGGATGTTCCGTCATCGTCGATGTCCATGAGGTCTTCAAAACACCAGGCTCCATCAACGCCGCTCAAACCCTCGCCAATGACGCAAATGCATAATCTCGTGTTGCATGGTATGGTTAGAAATGAGACCGTTAAGGCTATATCTGTTTATTAGTAATATTCACTTAATAGTATACACGTTTCATGAATACAAATTCGTGGTAGCTGAAGCTGCCAATCCCATTTTGGTACCTGGGATTCAGGATGTATTTAGAGAGGATTCAGCACTCATCAGGGTTGCACGCGATACGCAAATACAGTCGTAATTTGTTCGCAGTTCTAACATTTAAAAATAATTATATATCATATTCTTTCGATTTGTTTTCACTAATTTAATTTCAAATCGCATCATTTTATGACCTAGGAACGTGATCAATAGATTTTCGTCTGTGATTGACATTCTGCCTTTGTAGAGTGTATTCCGAGATGCGTTTTTGAGATTTGTGTTAAAGTGGTATTCCTGTTCCGGGAGTCAACAATGGGATTCAGAGTGAATAATTTCATGGTAGTCGGGATTCAGGGGAGGAGTGAGTGAGTGAGTTTGGTTTTAAGCCGCTTTTGGCAATATTCCAGCAATATCACGGCGGGAGACACCAGAAATGGGCTTCACACATTGTATCCATGTCGGGAATCGAACCCGGGTCTTCGGCGTGACGAGCGAACGCTTTAACCACTAGGCTACCCGACCGCCCCGATTCAGGGGAGGAGGGGTGGGCACCCTCATTACTGCTACACAAAGTTAAGAATGCTCTGTGGGACCACCTGTTTTGGGATATATCCACTATCTTCCAGGAAGAAGGGAAAAGTACCACAACTGACTTGAATCTATCTTCTTTGTGGAGAAACACGACATTGGGGTTTGAACGTCGCTCTATGTGTCCAGTATTTGAATCAGAAAGACGTAAATATATCTCACCTTACTAATACAAAAATTTCAAGCAATCGGAATGTGAAGAAAACTCTATAACAAGTGTGATACAGGACATTTAACACCCACACGAACAATTTATACGTTGTGCTGTCAACCTCATATAATTATATCTATTATAATATATATTATAAAAACAAATATATGCGTCCTCTTGCAAACCATATATAATATACAGTCAAGTATATGTTTACCTAATGTACATACACATCTGCATGTATGTATGACTGAATACTATGTATATACTTCTGACACACAGTTACAACACATGGTCAATTCTTTAACTTGAACTTCTGGGTTCTCGGGACCATCCTAAACACATCGAGTTATTCGTTTTTCGAGACAAGCGGAGTGACGCGATTAGACAATTGTGTCGATTGGTATTATAACCCTAATGCTACCTCGTCTTTATATCGAAGTAATGGAGTTTAATGATGCCTGTTCTTGTGACCTCCCCACCCCTCCCATCCCCCTCCCCCCCCCCCCCCCCCCCGTGACATGACTGGAATAGTGCTAACTGCGGCGCAAAACATATATAAGTTCAAGGTTTAACTGAATCACTGTAGCTGTTCCGACAGGCCTGTGGGTAAGGCTGTAGTGCCGGTCACAGAATATAGATTTTTCAATTGAGGTGTTTTATTACCTCCTAAGGAACTCAATTTAGCGGTTATTGTGAGCTAAGCCTGTGCTGTAGAGACCTAATAGTGACGTTTCATTGTGAGGTGTTCCATGGTTCTACTTAAGTCGCCAAGGACGCTGCAGCTACTCTGTACAGTGTTGCGTGTGCCGGGATCCGAAGCTCGTTTGTTCGAATTCTAGATTTGCCTTTGTTTGTTTATTTAGATCCATTGTTTGTCAGTACGACACCCGTGCTCTCCCAAAGTGTGCATGTATCCTTTGTACACCTGTATGTCCGTACATCCTGTACATCCTGATGTACACCTGTATGTGATGACATGTATTGTGTGATGCGTCTGTATGTGAGGTACACCTGTATGTGAGGTACACCTGTATGTGATGTACACCAGTATGTTATGACATGTATTGTACGCCAATGTGATGCACCTGTATGCCAGGTACACCTGTATGTGAGGTACACCTGTATGTGATGTACACCTGTATGTGTTGTTCACCTGTATACATGTATTGTACGCCAATGTGATGCACCTGTATGCCAGGTACACCTGTATGTGTTTATACATCATGATGTATTCGCTGTCTGAACTGTGTGTAGGCCATAAACAACCAGCGTTGAGACGAAGATATCCGCAGCTTTAGGCCTATAAACAAGACTGCATTCCTGTGTAGTTATGCTACTGCAATAACACTTCATCACAGCACTTAAACCCATCCTGACCTTTATACTCTACGGAGAACCAATACAGACACATAACTAAAAACTTCAAAAACAAGACAACATTCCCAGATCAAGGTGACAAAATTTAGTGTTCAATTATTTTAAATACTTATAGGAAGTTAATGTGTCGCAAAAAGTGTTTTGAATGAACTTTTAATATCATATTGAGGCGTCGAAATAGAACATATAATATGTGCAAACAGTTAAACGCACAACTGTTGCGTTCCGTCTGGCAGACAGAAAAACACTTTATACAAATATTTATGCTGGTATTGACTCATTGTATAAACACATTGAGAGAGAGTGTCACTTGTTTTAATTCACCGTGTGATACTTCAAGCATCTGACATCTGAATATGGTTGTAATACATCTATTACATATAAGGTGAGTGAGTATGGTTTTACGCCGCTTTTAGCAATATTCCAGCAATATCACGGCGGGGTCACCAGAAATGAGCTTCACACATTGTACGCATGTCGGGATTCGAACCCGGGTCTTCGGCGTGGCGAGCGAACACTTTAACCACTAGGCTACCCGACCGCTCCTGACATATTAGGAAGAGAATTTCTGTATGTCAAAAGGGGGCGGTCGGGTAGCCTAGTGGTTCAAGCGTTCGCTCGTTACGCCGAAGACCCGGGCTCGATTCCCGACATGGGTACAATGTGTGAAGCCCATTTCTGGTGTCCCCCGCCGTGATATTGCTGGAATATTGCTAAAAGCGGCGTAAAACCATACTCACTCACTCACTGTATGTCAACGTTTCGGAAATGGACTATCTTATTACTTTTGTCATTCTCACATGTACATATATATGCTCTCTGTCTCAAAGCATTTATTTACAACTTCTCAACTTATACCAGTGTTTTACATATCCCATCAACGAAACCCTTGCCTTATATCATTCTGGATTGTCTGGTCCAGACTCGATTATTTACAAACCTCTGTCATATAGCTGGAACATTGCTGAGTAAAGCGTCAAACAAGAAATAAACAAACACACAAAAAGCCCTGTGGGATCCTATGGGTATAGGATGGTCAGGTGGACAGGATCTACGATTGGTTCCAGGTCATCGTGCTCCGATGGCATTGGTCAAACCATTCGTGACGAACTCGTGTTATTCCGGGACAAGCCGAATAGCGACTCGTGACCAACTCGTGTTGCTCCGGGAAAAGCCCAATAGCGACTCGTGACCCTCTCGCGGCAATTTTTGCGATTATGATAGTTAACTGTATCTTGGGTATATTTTTAAATGCAAGACATGTAAATTCAAATTTTTCCTGGGTGATTCTTTGACCGAAGTACTTAAAGTTATAAGCGCATTCTGATTTCTTTCTCGTACATACATTCATCGATAGGGGGACAAGACTTCTTGCAGGTTACGGAAAGGGCGAGTGGTGACGAATGGGATCGATGGTTGCATGGTCCAAACGGGACTATATTTACGTTGTCCAGCTGAAAAGCCTGAATTGTGTCTGTCTGCGGCGTAAAACATTATGACTAACTCATATTATCTTCTACCCCCTATTATATATCAGATCCACGTGTCGGCTACATATACCGTAAACTCACAGCAGCAGGTGCTTGTCTGACTCACTCTGTCTTGTTGACAGGTTGCTTCAGATGCGCCGAGATCTTCCGCGGAGGAACACAAACTATCAGCTGCAGTGACACGGTGACCTCGTCACAACTGGATGAGTTCTAGCCAGTCCGCTCTTATATGTCGTTGTTGCGTCCTATTCCAGAGCGTGCTGTCCAGGTGTACTAGAAGAGAAGTCAACTTTTACAGATACGAGCTGAACTGAAGATGAGCGGCTGTAAAGTTGTGTTCGCTGCCGATCTAAGTGATCATAGTGACTACGCGTTCCACTGTGAGTAGCTCTTAATGTTGCCGAGCAATAACTTTGAATTTCTTATTCTCTTAATGATATCTTTTACCTTCTTTTACTTTTATTGAATTGAAATGTTTTGTAGCTGTGACTTAATGTGTTTAATATGTTTCCGTGTTTGTATCGGTGAACACTTGACTTGCCTTTGCATGTGTTTGTAACGGGCACCACTGGTGGGAAGCGATGCGCTAACTTCTTCGCAAACACCTAGTATGATCACTATTTAATTGTTATTCATAAACAAATGCTTCTCGGTATGGTACAACTTACAACTCTTTTAGCAGAGAGTCCTTATATACCTGATGATGATGGAAATTGTTTTGTCGCTTTTATTTACTTAAATTTATTTTATTCTATTGTAGTAATTACATTTTCTGGATTATGTAAAAAATACTAAAAAGTTCATATGAAATGCTATAATACTGAAACATTGCCGATGTAATGTGAAATCCCACGTCACTCACTCAATACATTCGTCAGGTTGGCGAGTTTCCAAATGGCCATTATCTTATATTCTGTCCTGATTTGTGTTTCGTGTTGTTTCTTAACGATGCGTTCATCAATATTCCAACTGTATAATGGCTGTCTGTAAATAACCGAGTCTGTACTAGACAATCCACTGAATGACATCGTTTCACGCAATTGGGATACGATGACATGCACAGATCTGACCACCAGATCCATTTAGTTGCCTTTTACAACAAGCATAGATTGCTGGGGACCTGTATTATTTCCCGGATTCCTCATAGGTCTGAAACCTACTGGTGGTAGGATCTATCTTAAACATGATCGTTATGGTAGTAGCACGTCTGTACTGTGAAGATGTGTATACACGATGGCGCGGTATGTATACAGTCTACGATATGCTGATAGACAGGTGTCTGTCAAAACACTTCCGGAAACACCCTCAATTGGCCCGTGTCACTCATTATTACCATACATCTGTGTCAGATACATTTTTCATAAATCTACAACTCGCAAATGAAAAAGAAGGCAAGGTAGAGATAAGATACGTAGAAAGTTATCATGTACCTTTTGAACACATATAATCTTATTTTGTTTACTAATATAAATTTGAAAGTTCTAGTGTCCCCTCACAAGTTCCCCTAAGCATTCCCTCGTGGAAGACTGCCCCCCTCCCCTCCCCCCTTTCACACCCACACCCACCCCACCCCCCACACCCATCCCCCACACCAACACCCACACCACTGTTCACGTCACAACAGTTAGTTATACCATTCGGATCCACTCGGCTTCTTCCGCTACCTACGTAATACCTCGGGCAACAATGGAATAGTGATATTGCATCATCTACATGTAAACCGCATTACGACCGATTCTTCCGCGTGTAGTTCCAACAGCAGGACAGCCGAATATTTGAGAGAAAACATTTTGTGGTTAATGGATCTACAATCTGATATTGAGCAATATTTATATAAGTATATTGTTGTGTAATATGATAGTCACGTGAACTAGAGAAACAAGATAAATACGACTGTTTGAAATTCAAGACTTGCGTACAATTGTCTCAGTTTTGTTTCAAACTGTAATCTCTCATTATGATAAGTATCAGCGAACAGAGCATGTACAGAGCTATCCCACTATGTAAAGTGTGTTACATGTCGTCAACATGAGGTCAATTACTTCATGCCTGGACCCGTGAAGATACGGGGTAAAATAGGTCTTTAGCAACCCATAAGGGGCGACTATGCTTGTCGCAAGAGGCGACTAACGGGATCGGGTGGTCAGACTCGATGATTTGGTTGGTGCATGTCATCGTATCCCAATTGCGTGGATCGAGGCTTATTATGTCAATCACTGGATTGTCTGGTCCGAACTCGATTTTTTTACAGATCGCTGTCATCTTTCTGGAATATTGCTGAACGTTAAACAGCAAACACACAAATACAACAAACAAACAAACATGCCTGGAACCCAACAACAACATATTCGCGAATCTTCAGCACAAATTGATAAACCCTGGTAAATCCGTTCGTGACTATAGCAGTGGAATATGGTGACACAATATTACACAGGCAAGTATATTGTGAATATAATATTGCACAGCACGGTATGTTGTGAATAAAATATTTAACATCGCAGTATATTGTACATTGTTGCACAGCGCAGTTTATTGTGAACACAATATTACACTACGCGGTATTTGAATGTTCCCAATTGATTCTAAGAAGTATGCATATGTATGTTCTTCGTAAGAACATTTAGAATACCGCTGTGGTTTGACAATAATGCACAAAAGAAATGTCGTATTCCAAATAATTTGGTTAAACTCAATACAATTTCCCAATCGTAAATGCAACTCAACATGTGAAAAAGCAGATTTCTCACTAAGATGTACATATGTGAAAATGGTAGGAAATATCCCGTTATATTTATGACCGCCATTGTGTAACGGTAAAAGACTACAAAGTGGGTCTGATGGGTATGATAGGATTTTTCTAATCCATTTCTGTCAGTGAGGGATATTTGCTTGCTTGACCTTGACATCTGGACAACACGAAGACGCAGTGACTCACTTTAGCAAAATGGTATTTTCTTCAACAACAGCAACAACTAATTATTGTATGGAATCCTAAAACAGACATTTTCACCTTGTGTCGCTCTCGCATGTCGCGCTACGGTTAATTATGATATATTTTGAGTGTGTTTGTAAGGGCGACAACGCGACAATGTCACTTCTGTGGTGCCATACTATTCAGATGTCATTAAATTAAAAAGCATAATTTGAATGTGGCACTGTTAAATAATTAAATCTAAATGAAATAAGAACATATTGTACGGCTTGTTTCATGGGCTTAATGTTGCATTGTGAACTGTCAGTTCCCTCCCTGCTCGTGTTGTCTTACCCCCTACTTTGACAATGGTCTTATTTCATTGCCTCATTATCTTACAAGCGGCAAGGTGACTTTCGCCGTAAACTTGTATTCTAGACTCTAGAGTTCGAATTTCCTCTTCTTGAAAGCAGATACGTGTATTATATAGGAGCGTTGGATACACCAGTTATTGAGGCCTAGTTTTATACTTCAAGGTTAGAAAGCCATTTGTATGCAACCAGTTTCAGCCATAATTTCGAATCAATCTATGTACAAATGCATGTGAAGTGACCATGCTTGTCGTAAGAGGCGACTAACAGGATCAGGTGGTCAGACTCGATGACATGGTTGATGCATGTTATCGTATTCCAATTGCGTAGATCGATGCTCATGATGTCAATCACTGGATTGTCTAGTCCAGACTCGAGTATTTACAGACAGCGTCATACAGCTGGAATATTGCCGAGTGCAGCGTTGAACAACAAACAAACAAACAAACCAATGCATGGACGTTTCTTTATGTTGAATGTGTCTACATAGTCAGTGATGACACTTCTGCTAAATGTATACACATTTACCAGGTGACAGACTAGTGGACGTGTGTAATACATTCTCCGCTGTGACTCATTGAGAGCGGTCACCTTGTCCTTCTTTGTAGCGACACGGGACACCATACAGACCTCGTTTTAAAGCAGTTTCAAGGTCATAAGACAAAAAACAGTTGATACACTCAAACTTGTTTTCCCGAATCGCTGATTATCGAGGTATCTGCATGGTTTTACCTGCCCCAATGCCAATCTCTATCTACCTGTGTGTCGACAAACTGTAATTCAAGTTCCTTCCACTTTGAGTTAAAGTGAGTTGGATTTAAAGTCCCCAACACCGTTTAATTATGCTTCAGTTGAAACACGACGTGGCAGCTGCACGTGGGAGGAAAACCCAAAGTGATGCAGGTCTTAGGTTACCAGGGGTGTCGGGTAGCCTAATGGTTAAAGCGTTCGCTCGTCACGCCGAAGACCCGGGTTCTATTCCCGACATGGGTACAATGTGTGAAGTCCATTTCTGGTGTCTCCCGCCGTGATATTGCTGGAATATTGCTCAAAGCGGCGTAAAACCATACTCACTCACCCACTCACTTAGGTTTCCACGGTTACGGCTCTGACAAACTAATATGATCATAATGAGAGCGAATCTTGGATTCGAACCCATTCTGAACAACGCCTTCGACCACTAGGCCACCATGCCCCTTCGAGTTACCGACTAATATTGATGTAAAATACCAACTGTAAAATTTAGAAGTGTCAACCAAGTATATCTACGATCATACATATTGAAACGGAGATATTAAATTAGCATACATTAATGCACATTTTTAAGGAAATATCCCCAGCTGAATAAGAACTAAATAATATAAGAACTGTAAAAATAGCTTGCTCAGGTTGAATGCTATCATCTTATTTAGCCTCAGTTAGCAGATGTCGACACGCTATGCTGACATGATGCTGTAAATTCCAACATTAATGTCAAGGACTGAAACGCTTCAACTGGCACATGTCATTCACTGAAGCGGAAGTGAAATCCGGAGATACACTTATGAATCATAGAACATGCGCTGTCATGGCCTTTGCCAAGATTTAGTTCATTTTTCGGCTGCAGGTTATTCTTACAAGAGTACCATTTTTGTTTGATCAAATTTGTTTTCAAAGAAAGTCGAGAGTTTAAATGAAACCAACTGCCAAACAAAAGACGTTATACAACCATTTGAAGACGACTAAATGTTGAACGAGAAATAGTTATTCGACAGTGACGTATTTGATACGGGTGTGATAGTTGGGTTTGGGGTCTTAAGTTTGTAGTGGTTCGGTGCCTGTTTTCACCCTTGTAACGTTGTGATAAGGTTTGTAACATTTTTGGTCAAATCCAATTTTCAAGTGTATACTTTCTTTTGCCCGGCAATGTACATCGAAAGCAATCCTTCTGCACCCCGAACGAAAGGTGATAATCTGTACTCTTGGTAAAACAATCATGTTTTCTCAATTACACGTAATAAAGATAAGCCACTTACTATCCGCTGTTAAGAATGTTAGCCTTGTTGTTAAAGCGTGCGCTCGTCAAGCCGAAGACCCGGGTTCGATTCCCCAATGGGAA